TCTCTATGGGGGGTTGTTTTTAACTTCTTCGGAGGGTCTCGTGGAAAATCCCCACTAAGGAGGCTTGCTAAAGGGCTTAAGTCACTCCGGAGGGTTACTCCGGAGGGTTCCGCAAAAATAAAAAAAACGGGTAATTTTACCGCGTTAAAGCCTCTGAATGTGGCGTAACTTGCTTAAAACTAGGTTGGTTGACACGGTCAACTTTGCCAGCAAGATAAAAAGGTGTTTTGATAAATTTTTCTGCCGCTCGGAGGGTTACCTATAATTTGGACCCTCCGAACCAGCAAATTTTCAAAAACTTTTTCTTTTCCGAGATTATCAACCCAAAAACATTTGGGGTCCGGAAAAGTGGTTCAAAACGTCGACTTATGGTACCAAAATTATCCCAATCGGTTAGCTAGTCTTTGAGAAATTGCCAAAAACGTGTTTGTCCAAATGGCCTTTTTTTACCACCTATATAGGTTCTGAGAAACTTTTTCCGCAATTCCTATTGAAAGTGCCTAAAAATAATTGAAACAAGCGTAGTAGCCCTGTACGGCACTGGAATTATGCAAAAAACCGGACCAAAATTGGTTTGGAGACAAAAATTTGGCCAATAACTATCAAATTTGGACCCTCCGATTCCTTCCTTTTCCAATCCTTAAGTCGTTAGCTCTATCTACGGAGCTAATCGGAGGGTTACTCAAGAACTTTTCTGGCAGCCGAGCACGTTATGCTAACACGCTGCTAACACAAAAAATTTTATTGCTCCTAATCTAAAAACTCAAAAACTCGATCCCCAAAACAGATTGACAAAATTCAGAAAATTATCGAAATTTTGATCGAAAATTTTCTTTTTTTTTTTCAACTTTTACTGAGTCTTTTCTCACGCGGTTTCTTTAGTTAGGGGGATCGAACTACGTACCTACTCCGTATAAAAAAGCTTTTTGCTGTTCGGAAAAGCTCGGACATTCAAAAATTTGGGGGTCTACAGTTTGGTCGAAAATCGATAATTTTCGACGAAATTTGGGTGTTTCTTGGGTCTAATTAGGAAATAATTAAACTATAATAAGGATAATAACCTACTAGTAGTGCTGAAGAATAGTAATGCTGAAGAATAGTAGTAACGAATAGTACTATACCCTCCTTTGCACCAAAATACACGAATTAAGACCCTTAACTCGGAAATTTGTAATCGATGGAGGGTACAATCGGACCGCGCCAATCGTGCCCCCACCACTTAAGTTTTGATGAAATAGTACCCGAACGATACCAAAATTGTTTCAACGATACCCAACAGTCGTTGTGGATGTTGTCCCTGATGTCCTTGTTGAGTGTGGAACACGTCGGTCAGCTTGCCACTCTACCCTCCGGCCACCGGCAAAATCACCATTAACGTGCTTAAATACTCAAATTACACCCAAGGGAGGGTATCCAACCCTTCACCAAAACACACAATCTTTCTATCAGAAATGATATAAATCAACCTGAAACAACAACAAATAGGAAGGTCAGATCACATCTCGTCCGGAAATAACATATAAACTGTCACTTTATGTTTTTTACTGTTTTTGGTCTTTTTTGGATTTTTTACTGTTTTTTGTACTTTTTTGTTTTCAAATTAATTCTTTTTTGGCTTTTTCTTGGTTATACACTATTTTTTTTTGGTTTTACGCTTTCTCTTTAATTGTTTTTGGTACCGGGATCTTGGGACAAGCGGGCTCATGACTTCCCACCTAACCCTCCGGCCCCCGGAATTTTCGGTGTTAACTAAGTTAAAAAGCTACATAGTACTAGATGGACGGTACGCACCTTCACCCTAATACAATAACGGTCATTAGGGCCTCTAACTCGGGCATACGCCCGGAGCGGAGGGTTCGTCGCTGAAACGCTTGCTGATCATGATGGTCCCATGCCTTTAACAGGCCCACCCAGGAGCGCCATAAAAACGTCTATGTAACATTCGCCCAAATACTACACAGCGACGGAGCGTAGAAAAAGTACCCATTAACGACTGGCAGGCGTCAGTAACCTTAATCCTACTCGTTTTTCACCGTCTCAACCTTGCCAGTTGATTTTCTGGTCTGTTTAGGGCTAAGTAAAAAGTTACTATTTTTAGGCCATCAGTCAAGCGACTTTTGATCAGCTTTCGTTCACATGCGAACACAACCACATAGCTGAGTCTCGGATCCTCAGACTACGTGATTGCTAATAAAAACACGGCTCGAATACCCTATTTTAATATGTTTTTGTGTGACAGTTCTATATTAAATCCATTGGAGATGGATTGACCCTTTCCTCTTTCTAGCTACTCATATTCTAAAATATCAAATCATACCGGGGTTAATTCAAAGTTTCACGACATCCAAGTAGCTACAAAGTCTGTTCTATATAGCGCCTTCACATACAACAGTCTCTGGGGGACCAAGCCTCCGCTCCCGTAGTCTTCCCGAGATAACGTTCTTATCTCTTCCAATTTGTGGCACGGGAGGGTTCCGTGGAATATTCCTTCCCCACTGAAGCTTCCTTCTCCACTAATATCCGCTGTTAAGGATCTTATCGTGTGTTATTGCCACGATAAGAGGCTTTGTTTCTCTCGTGTTCCCGCACGACCGTTTCTCACTATCTTTGTTGTTGTTCTGTTTTTTCGTCCTTTCCAGTCAAAATGGCCGTCTTTTTGTATTTCTCAGAAATATTGGCCCGTCAATCGGAATTTTAAAAATTCAAAATTTCGGAATATCTAGACCCTCCTTCGCAGTAATTTTTCTTTACTAAGGCCTTTGTTCGTTTTCTTTCGTGTCGCCGGAAGGTTGCGCTGTGCCAATCCAGCAGAATGGCACAAAGTTAAAAAGCTAAATAGTACTAGGCGGAGGGTACGCACCTTCCCCTTATTACAAAAAAGGTCATTAAGGCCTCTAACGCGGGCATACGCCCGGAGCAGAGGGTTCGTCGCTGAAACGTTTGCTGATCATGATGGTCTCATGCCTTTAACAGGCCCACCCAGGAGCGCCATAAAAACGTCTATGTAACATTCGCCCAAATACTACACAGCGACGGAGCGTAGAAAAAGTACCTATTAACGACTGGCAGGCGTCAGTTACCTTGATCCTACTCGTTTTTCACCGTCTCGACCTTGCCTGTTGATTTTCTGGTCTGTTTAGGGCTAAGTAAAAAGTTACTGTTTTTAGGCCATCAGTCAAACGACTTTTGATCAGCTTTCGTTTACATGCGAACACAACCACATAGCTGAGTCTCGGATCCTCAGACTACGTGATTGCTATTAAAAACACGGCTCGAATACCCTATTTTAATATGTTTTTGTGTGACAGTTCTATATTAAATCCATTGGAGATGGATTGACTTTTTCCTCTTCCTAGCTACTCATATTCTAAAATATCAAATAATACCGGTGTTAGTTCAAAGTTCTATGGCATCAGAGTAGCTAAAAAGTTAGTTAAGTTACTACAGTCTTTCACCATATAACAGTCTCTGGGGGACCAAGTTTCCGCTTCCGTGTTCTCCTCGAGATAACGTTTCCAGATAATGAGAAACTAGGAGTTGAGCGAAAGGGTTGATCCATCTTCGATGGAGATAATGATTTTTATCCACTGAACAAAAACAATAGTAATATAATAAATAGTAGGAGCCCTATGTTCAGGAGTGACCTCGTGGTCTGGGGATACTGAGACCCAGCCATGAGCTCACTATTTCTGCATGTAATTCAGTTAATTTGAGCGTTCTGGTCGAAGCCGGAGAACGGTAACGTTTTTGTCGAGCCGATGTTTGAAAGACCACTTAAAGAACTCGCTTTGGTAGAGACGGTGAAAAGCATGTAGAGCTTAGATTAGACGCTGGCCAGTCGTTTTATAGCTTAGCTTTATTTTCCGTCGATATGTACTTCCGGGCGAATGTTACACTCAATTCGAATTTTTGAAAAATTTCATTTCTTCCTAAAATCATGTTTATTGCGTTGCTCAAAGTCAAACTTTCAAATATGACCGACTGGCACATTCACCAGCCTTCCGGAAGGACGATAAGACCGCTCTTCGTCCGGTTTCCAAAATCGGAAAGGGTCTCGGGCAGAGAACTCAAACTCTATCTTAACAAAATTTTAGCTTCCTGGAATGTCCTGAATTGAATTGAATTAATTACATCTAAATCCGTTTTCAGATAATGAGAAGCTAGGAGTTGGGGGAAAGGGTTGATCTTACTCCGATGTATTATTACGCATTTCAATTTTTCTGTATTCATGTGTTTCATACAATGGGAAAGACCCAAAAAATCATGTGATAATGTTTTTTTTTCTAATTGACGTTGGAAACCGAAGAGCTCAAATGACACGAAATTTCGTCTGCAAACAAATGCGTCTGAAGAAGTGCGAGTCGGATTGCTGGTTTCGGGCATGTCGTCTTGCTAATTTGTACAACGAATACTTCAAATGTGACATATTGTTTGACCCAGGATGCAAAAACAGACTTCTAGGAATGTACACAAAGTTTTTCAAACCTCGCTACAACGAATCAGACACATGCACTTGGCGCATTTTATGCGAATGCAACAACTGTAGAGACCTGAAGAAACCCACACTTATAACTGAAAAGTAAACTTTGAACAATGCAATGACTGGGTTTTATGCGAACCCTTGGATTATATTCCTAAATCCTTTGTTATTATTATTATTATTATTATTATTATTGGCACATTTCATGAAAATAGGGTTCATTATAAAATAGTTACGTATTTACAGATAGTTTCAGCTTGATATGTTTTTTTTCTGTTTTTTTTTTCAAAAAAGTTGAGTTCATTGACGTTTTGAAATCTTCGTTGAATATGTTGCAATTTTCTTGTTTTTACACTGTTTTAAACTAATATTTTTTGTCTGCTGATTTTTTCACTGGAATTCTTCACGATAAATGACTGGTTGTTGATTTTCAACAATCACTTGAATATGATGTATGATTTGAATTGATTGGAAAAAAACAAGGTAAAATTAATTCAAGAATTTTATTAATTGCATTTATTGTAGTTTGATTAATTTATTCTGACTTTCCTCGGTCTCCGTATTGCTTGAGCTCTGTGAAAATATGTGTGAAGTATGCTGGGTCTTGATTTATCAGCAGCATTTTAGCACTGCTTTCGTTGATGATGCCGACACAACGACTCCAAAATACTCGTCTGTCCGTTTCGACCAGAAAAGGTTTCAAAGGGTAACTAATTTCATTGCCCACATAGCTGTAGCTGAGATACAAACAAGTCAAAACTATAGCCTGTAATTCTTCTACGTTTTTGATTTTATCCGAGATGTAGTCACGGAGCAGAAGGTACACGAACACAACATTGGCTGGCGAGATGAAAGCGATGTCCTGCCAGCCTTGAACCAATAATGCTCTGTCGATTGTTCTGAGCCACAATATGACCTCGTTGCCATGAAAGTGTGCAAGTTTGCGGCATTTGATGGAGAGATAAATTGCCAGACATTTCAGCAACTCGCTAGTTGAAGCGGTAATTGTGACCGTACGTGAAATAGCACTTGAAGATTGACTTTGTTTTATAACTGCTTTAGCGGAAGGTTCTTTTCTACTTTTAGAGCTGTTTACAATTCGACCAGAGTTTGAGGATTCTTTCCGCTTGACTTCTTCGACTGCTTCAGTTTTGACAGCCAGAGATGAGAATTTGGTATAGAAGTCTTTACCTAACTTGTGACTTGTGTTTTCGTATTCGTTAGCGGAAGGCGCGCAAATAGTAACTGGTTTGCTGACTAGTGATTGGTTGAAGTTGAAGCACGAGAGAGATTTCTTAGGAACTGCCGTGCCGCCGTTCTGTATCTCAGTCGTTTCCTCGATACGAGCTTCGTTGCTATTCGGCTGTTTTTCTCGTGCCTTGACTGACCTATTTCTAGTCTCTTTCGCGGAGTGTTTCTCCCCCCGAGTACTGCTCGACGATTCTTTAGTGGACAAGTCTTTGGAGGCTCCAGATGGCTGACTGGGTTTGACTAGTTTTTTGCCGGACTTGGCGGAATGGTGAAACAAATGGTTGAATATGAAACTGGTGGCGTGGTGGCTGTTGTTATTGTCTTTCGGCGGCGGCTGTTGATTTTGATGGTGGAAAGTATTGCTGTGTGGAATATGCGATGCCGCCGCCGCCTTTTGTGTCTCCCTGTTTGAAGCTGCAGGCACTTCTCGACTCTCTTCGCTGTTAGTAATATGTCCCATCGATTTTGAAGACTCTATTTTTGGACAGTTGGTCGAGTTGTGTACCCGGTAGTCGTTGGCGGCTGGCGGAGAAGAGTTTTCCTGCAGATTCTGCGAAGGAATCACGGGAATGGTGTTGCCCATCTAAAATTGAACAGTGTGCTGATTGGGTTAGTAGATGTAAATTAGCGGGGTGTGCAAAAATGACTGCCTATAAGTTGGCCGAGCAGCTAATTGATTGTGCAGGAAATGGCAATATTATCTCTGAATTGAAAGAAAAGTTATCTATGTTATAATCTCACAAAATGAAATAAATTGAGTGTAAATGTGGCCTTTGAGAGGGTCAGTTAAGGTAGTAGATGATGACTATCGACATCTTTTTAAGTAGAAATTTGTAGGATAAAGTGAGACGACGAGGCTTGGTTAAGTTCAAGCCAACTCAGTTGTTAAGTGCTAATGGAGTTCTGATTAGGTTGAATTAGATTAGATTTTTACCTACCAATTTTAAAACAGTTTCCAGATAAAGTTAGTTATCCAAGTAAGACTAAACCAATCAATATGGTCTACTTGTTGATTACAATTCGCTGCTCTGAAAATGGTAAACCCTCTGCACTGCTTAGCCCAAAATCGGCTCCAGAATATTGCCTTTAGATTGGCATCAAAAATTTTAGTCCCAATTCTGTTAAGGGAATTCAGATTTAATTGCAGCCTCGATACTGAAGGCAAGGCACTGTTTTCATGACATAAATGTAAATTGTAAGGAAGAGAAAGAGTGAGAAATAAGCATTTGATTTTTTGGTAGAAATGGATTTGGTTGGTGCAAATGCGAATTGCGCCGTTATACATGCAGCAGGCAACAACCTCGATTATGTTGAATGGTGGCATTACAGCTTTTGTGTGTTGTGGGGAGGAGGGTATATACATATATTTTATCTTTCTGCATCAGTAGAGAGAGTGTGTGTTTATGCAGGCGTGTAGTGCTTGGACAGAAAGTTGGATGAGAAAGCTAAAATGAGTGCTAATGGTTGGTTTGATAAGGCCACAGGGCGAAATACTTGAATAGTCTGAGCAAGTGCTAGCCCCAGTCTCGTCTCATCAATGCCGCTTCAAACGAAAACAAGCGCCTAGAGTATCTTGAGACTGTGCTGAGGGTGGGGGGGATGTAAGAGGAAGGACTTTTATTGGGGATTAGCTTACTTACTACGAATTGTACTAGAGGAGGTATGCTATGTATGTGGCGAAGTGTGTGTTAAGTGCGTCTAGCTGTAGAAGCAGCACACGCAGTTGGACGAGTGGAAGTAGAAGAGGGAAGAGAAACTACTACTAGTACTACCCGCTGCACCACAAACTGGGGAGGAGGGGGGGGGGGGGGTTTGCTGAAAAGGTGCGAGAGAGATAAAATGAGGTTGAGAAAGAGAAGTACGACCGCCGCCGCCCCTGCTGGGGACAGAAGAGTGTTGGATGCTTATAGACAGCATCAGAAATTGTATCACAGCACAGAACAAACTGATCAGATGAATGAAACAACTGATCAATAAATGGGTAACACACCACAGATTTTCGAAGAGACAAGGAACGGAAACCGCTCTTTTTCAGCACCAACGCACAGCTCAACAGAACAACCCCACATGAAGGGACTTGTGGGAAATTTGATCAATAGCTGCAGCTTCCTTTGAGATGAAGAGGAGAGGAGAAATCAGACGTCGTCTACCTCGAGGGAATGAATGACCAACCAACTGAGGCGTTTTTGTTTACATGTAACTGCCAAAGAGCAGACATTTGTTAGACTGTTGTCGCAAAATCACCCGCTGGTTTTCATTTTTGGAAACATAAGTGGGCAAGTGCATTTAATTTTTTTTCAGAGACAGCTAGAACAGGATTGATTTTCAGAACAAGGGATAAATGTCCATATGTTGACTTTGAATTTTCGACTGGCTTTCTAGGCGACGAAGAAGTTGAATTGTTAGCAACAAATTTACCCCCAACCGACGTAATTTGTGAATGTTAGAGTTTTAAATATCTGTCCTGTTCGAAATGAGCTTTTATGATGGTTGCAATTTAACCAACTCGATTTGTTAAAATTTTATTAATTTTTTTTTCATGTAGAAATTGGACTGATTCTATTGCGGAACCTCAAGTTTCAGTCTCATTCTTTTTTTGTTTTAGGGTAAAGCGCATGATTTGGGAGTCTTAAGATCTGTAGTTCGAATCCCGAACGGATCTTTATTTTTTTTTGGATAGGTATGAAATGAAATATTTTTGAGAACCTTTGAAGTGTCGGACCGTGATTTGTTTGCTTATTTTTGGTCGGCTTAAGTTCCAAAGGATGTCTTTTTCTGATTCAGTAAAAAAAGACAAAATTACATTTAAATTAAAATCAGAGTTGCTGAACTTTCTAATATCAGAACGACAATTATAGGAATTTTGTTGCCCAATTACTTCGGCTCGTTTTATATTCTGTATTGTCGTTTAAAAAACAAACATAGTTTGATGCTTTAGTAGGTCTGAGAAGTGGTCGGGTCTGAGTATGGTGGGTCGTTTATGAGTTTTCACACTCAATAGTTTCAAATTTTATTTCACAACAATTATTCTTATGGCAGTTTTGTCTTCAGCTCAAACTCTGCCCAAGTACTTTCGGGTAAAAAGCCACTCAGTAAATGATCTTGAATGCTTTTTTTAACACTGGTGGTTACTTGCACCTGCAATTGAAGATCTGTCGAGACAAAGGACGTTTTTGTAGATGGAGTTTCAAATTTGCTAACACTTGCGATAATTAAGTTTTATTAAATCGTTGATTATTTTTTAAGTTGTTAATTTATTCAACACAATTGCTGAGTCATTTTACCAGCAATGTTATCAGTTTTGAATAAAAATTGGACTGTTAAGCGCGGAGTTAACGCCAATCTTTGTGACGTCAAAATGAATGGGTTCGATTATGAACAGGAGTTGATTCTTTAGAAAATGATTTTTTTTTCACTAGCTTTCTCTTCTTAAACTTAAATCGTTTCGGCTTATGTATGTCGGCTTATGTATGTCGGATTATTTATGTCGGCTTATTCGCCCTCCATTGCCTCCTTTGAAGGGTAAACATATTTTAATGCCTTTCTGCGTTTCAGGAGACGATATGTGCTGTAAAACTTCAAGTTACCAAAATTCACACCAAAATTCTCAACGGTTATCGACCCAAGTAGTTTTTGGCCGAGTTGCTGCTCAGTGAGTTTTTGTGATTGTTTATTATGCTTGTGGTTTGTTGTGTTTTCAAATATTCTCTTAAATTGATCATTATTCGAAACGAACACAAATTGTTTTTTTTTTTGTGAAGATATTTTTGTTTTCTAGTTTTTTTCATTTCTGAATTGGCGACGTCCGCAATGATAGTTTTTTTCCGTTAGTATCCAACGTGTGTTTGTTTTTTTTTGCGTCGTTTTAGAGCAGAAAGTGTTTTTTGTCTGTGGTAAGGGGGATTTTATTATGTTGAGGTGAACCCTTTTCTGAGATTCGTTCAGTTTTTTCTTCAAACTGTTCTTTTTGGGAGCAATCGTGGCCTGTACAAGTATTGTTGGCTGTGTTGCTGCTTCGTAAAATTGCAGCTTGATTTATATTGCCTGTGTTGTCAAAATGAACTTCATCCAAGACAAATCGAAACAAACATGAAAGTTTTTGTAAGTCTTTTTTTTCCAAATTTTCTGCTTGTTAGTGTCGTGTGGTGGCTAATTTGCCGTGCTCTTTGATTTTTTTGTAAGTATCATCTGTAAAGAGTAAATTATCATGTTTCATTTAGTTTTTTGCTTTTCACGCGTGCGATTAGCAAGCGTTATCAGATCGGAATATAGACTTTTGTCGGGTTATTAACTTGTTTAACAGAATCCTTTGAATCACTTGGTATCTTGGTTCATAATGAATTCAAATTTCCAAGCATTTCCGGAACACTTAGGTAGCGAATATGCCTGGGACGGCAAAGGTACTGGGTTCGAATCCGGCTAAGACCTTTTTTTTCAAACGGGAAATGTTTCGTTTCAAAAAAATGTCGGCTTATTATTTGTCTACTTTTGTTTCGCCGACTTAGTTGCCAAATCGTAGATTTTTTTTGATGGCTGCAATTTTCATTGTAGTTGCTCTTTATGTTTTCGAGGGAATTATAATTTGTAAGTTTTCCTCCGGTTCGCACAAAACGTTAAATGTCTCAGAATATAATTTATAGTTCAAATTTTTTCGTGACAAAAATTTTCATTAAATGCCGTCGAATGTGTTTCTAGTCGTGTTGGCTGCAAATTGAACATCTTTCTAGACAATTGATATCATTCCATTTTTTAGTTTTGTTGTGGTTTCATCGAAAATTTTTCCGTTTTTTTGGACTTAGTTGCTTCCTTTCTTTTCCTATCTGCTAGCTTGCAATGCTATTTTTGCGGTATCACAAGTGATGCGAAGCTCCACTCCGCCTCTGTGTTGACTATTGATTTTGTTAGAGTCCATGACATCTTGAGTTTTGATTTTCAATTTAGTTTTGTTCTGATGTTTTTTATTACAATCATCCATTTTTGTATCGGAAGTGTTACCAAGCGCAGCTTTGCCTCTATGTCTTAATAGTTTCCGTCTACGTTTCTTTTAGCTAGCCTTCCTGGCAGGCTTTCGTTGTATGCTCTTCTTCGATTTTGCGGCAGTTCTCAGATTTCCCAGCCATTCAAAGAATACCCATCAGTTTTAGGGTGATCGTTTGTTTTCTGGAGAATTAAACTGTGAAATTGAATTTGTTATAATAAATGATGTCAATTGTTACCCTGAAGGTATCCTTGTTTTCAGTTACACTTTTCCAACTGTGTTTTGAATTATTCGAACACAGCGAACGAAGTTAAACACTTTTTTTTGAATTGGGTTTGCCGTAGAAAAAATTTGATTATAACAAATTTTTGCTTTCAGCTCGTTTGCCTTAAACATCTATTTGATGAATTAAAACTAGACCCAGAAATTTTGTCCTAAATTGGGTAGCTTTTTTGTCGCTGTTTTATTTGAGTTACGCTGAATATAATGATTCATGGTTCATTATATTAACATTTTTTTTTGCAATAACGAGCGTAGTGTATTAGTATGAATCTACTTTTGTTTCCAAACTTTTTTCTAAACCAGCTTTTTTGTCGACTCCTAATAAACTGGTCGGAGGTTGAACGCTGCACTTAGCACTAGTTCGTGGTTTTTTGCTGCATAGCATTGACAATTTATTTTCATCTTCAGCTGCATCATTGATGGCTAGTTTTCTCAAACTGACGAGAGCTTGTAGCTTAGATGCGAGAAAGTGAAACTACAAATCTCAAGGTCGTAAGTGCGAATCGGACACATAAAAACGTTTTACTAATTAGAGGCTTCTTTCTACTTTTTCATAGTTCTTTTTATAGAGCTGTTTTTTGTCGCTTTATCGCTTGTATTTGCTAAGCACAGCTTCGCCTCTGTGTTAAAGTTGGGACTTTTATATAACCAAGCTGTAAAACAGCGTTATTATTTTTTCGTTGAAAACAGCGTATTTTGTTTTCAAAGCTTCAATATTTTTTTTTTCTGTTTTCAAACATTTTATCTGGTTTACACTTTTTGGGCGACACAAGCGGCTCTTTTAATTTCTCTTTTGAAATTCTTTTTGGTTGTTTTTGATTTACTACAAATCGACTGAAAACAGAACATTTTTTAATTGATTTTTTTGAAAATTATTTTCCAGAATAGCTGTAGTAAAATTCGAAGCAGCTTCTGTTTTTTTTTCGCTTTCTGATCCCATCTAGCAAAACCAGGTCAAAAATTCCATTTTTTCGATTTCGTGTTTTCGGCCTGGTTCTGTCGGTTCATTTTCTGTTTTCTTTTGAAAATGGCATCCATATTATCTGGTACTAATTAAGTCGTCCTACTTTGGAGGCAAGGATTTTATTTGGTTTTAAATATATTGTTGCTATTATTTGAAGTTCTGTAAATTGTTATTTTATCAAGTCTGATTTTATAAAGAATTTTTTGTGTTGAAATGGTTTTGGCTTATTATGTTGCTTCGGATTAATCGAATTTTATTGTGTTTAATTTTGAAGGCCCGAAAATTCCTGTTCGACAAAATCAGTTATAAGGAAAATGTGTGGTTTTTTTATTGTAGTACTAGAAAACTAACCTCCCTAATCTTCAATCGAGTTTTTGCGTTCAATCGAAACAACAGGTTATGCGAGTCTTCTTTTTCGCAGAAACTGCACACCCAAGTTTTTTGTACAACAATTCATGGTTCTCGGAAAAATCAAATTTTTTTTATTGACCATTTTTCGGAATTGTTTTGTATTTTCTCAAAAAGATCCCTGCCAATTCTTTAATT